TACATACATATATATACATATATAAACATATAAACATATGAACATATATATATATATTAATGAAACATAGTGTTACGTATAAATTATGTGCGCGAGGTCTTCCTTCCCATACGTACGTATGGAAATGTAGCTCATCATCACTGTGCGTGTACACACATAAAATAAATTTCAATACAACAAATAGTACCTACCGGCAGAAACGGGGCAATGTCGTCACCCTTCCTGAACACCTGGAGGTTGCCAGAGCTATTACCACTACCACAACAAAATGGATAACATTATGGTGAGCGCTTGTTGGAACGCGAAAGGCGTACTTCTAGAAATGGCTGGAGCAAGAAAAACCTCTAATATTAGTTATATGTATTGAAAAGGAAGCCAATTTTCGCTGATACGCATCAGACAGACCTTGGCTCGTCCGGCTGGTTGAACTTGAGTTGGATTTGCGCCGGTTGGCCCTGGAACACACTAGAAATGCCACTATCGGTAGTCTCCACGCTAAGCACCACATCGCCCTGATTCAGTAACACGTCTTCGGAGGCTATGCAGGTCCTACTCGCATCCCCGTACCTGTACTTACAGGCATCGTCGGTTTTGCACTGGCCACAGAACAAGCCTAACGCATGCAGTGCATTTCAATAGTACAAAATGAGGGTATGCGAGTGAGATGATCCATCGCCGCTGATTCAGAGCCTTGGGTTTAAGCACTGGGCTGAGTGATGGTACCCGTGGGTGGGACAGGGCAACCTCAGACGATCAGTTTCACTCTCAGCAGAACTCTCCAAATGCAGTAGTATTTGTTACGTGTACGTATACTCATGGAGTTACAATCTAAACAGTGGCGGATGTACGATACGATTTAGGTAGTAAACAAGATTCTTGAGTTCCAGCAGACTCAATGATTCCGTCTATGAAGCATGATGCGTTCGCTATTTATTAGTTTCGAGATCGCTTCGGAACTCCTTAGAAAGGAATTCAATATACATATAAATACAACCTAAGCTAGGCTACAAGCAAACACATAAGACCCTACATATTATATATGTATACACATACAAATGCAGATTCAATACATACATATATATATCCATCCATATACACCATATATATACGCACACAAACGCAAT